TTGTGATTTGAAATGGGTTACTTGGAGCGAGGCGGGGAAAACAGGGATAGAACATTTGAGTTCATGGAGGAAAATGTGCTGAGTTTAGTCTGGAAAGTAAAGGACAACAGGATTTGATGATAATGTTTGGCATGTGTGAAAAATGACTATACACAGGTTGACCTCTTAGCTTTTTTTTCCTCTTCTGCACGTGTAATATACAAGATGAAAACTTTTGTACATCCATCTAATTCCGTATTATAGTTGGTGAATAGTCGAATTTCTGGGACAGGCCCAGAAAGCAACCACACCCATTGTGACTCTTTTTGCGCCGATCAAAGGCTTCGACCTGCGCTGAGGGAAGTGCGACAAAGTCATGTGAACGCTAGTGTCATGACTCATGTGCTATCACTATAGCAATCAGCAGCAATTAACTAGAAGTAGCAGCCCAACTCACAGACGCTGGTGCCAGCCACCATGCATGTGTGTTGAAAATTGGTCATAACTTGCTCATGTCGAAACTTGTAAAGATTAAGAAGTTGTGTGTTACATACACTTTACAGGTTTACAGTATGACCATAAACAAATTTCACTATACATACTGTAATTCAGGCTATGATCTTAAGGAAGTGTTATGTGAAATATAGACATCAGTGTTACTTGTGTACAACAAATTTCAGTCATTTGACCAGGTTAGGCTGGTTGAGTAATCTCAGGCCCTATTAATTATTATACTTTACAACATCTCATTCATGGTCCGGATTAAACAAGTTTGCGGACCTGATCAAGCCATACGTTTGACACTCCTGGTCTTGTGTGTGTTCACAAACCGAATGACCAGGGGTTTATAGAAATTCTGGAAAATTCTGTTTTCAAAAAGCTTCTGTCATGCAACCCTTTGAAATTCCGTGTTGAGTATTTTCTCGAGTAGACATTCCGGGAAATCAACAGAAAAACACTATTGCAAGCATAAGTGATTACCCCACTTCCTTGAGGCACATCTGCTGATTACAAGCTGAATGTTGATGAAGCAAATCAAGCCTAAATCTTACCGAACATATTCTGGTTGCACAACGTTGGAACTACTTCCAGCACACCATTCCAGCTAAAGTGTTTACAGGAATCAAAATCATCGCCACCAGCTGATCTACAGGCAGTGACTGTGTCTTTTCTACTATCGTCTATTTAATATTGAAAGCACTGTGATTAGCTGCTGCCAAAAGACACACAGGATAAACGATGTTTAGTCTTGCTACACACTGACAGATGTCTTACAGGCTGATTCATTCAAGTATAACATCGGAGAGTTCCAAGATTAAATCATTGGCTTGTGAATCCAAGACAGAAGAATGAGTGAGTGCCTCCATTATAATGCTCTCAAAATACAGAAAGCAATAGAATAGTCAGCAATGGATTGCCGACCCTGAACACAGTCTAAGAACCGACCTCCTGCCTCAATGCCCTGAACTGGGTGGTGGAAAACCCGATGTAGTTCCGTGATAAACGGACGGAAGAGCTCAGGCCATGCATTGACGGGTCAAGAGACTCATGATAAATGCAACCTTGCAACTATCATGGGCGGATGTAAACGTTTGCTGGTCAAAAATCGACAAGCATTGGTGAAAGAATTGCCTGCAAAGTCTGGGCTCACCTCCATAGCGTGACGGATGGGGTAAATTTAGTTTCCGGCAAAGGGTTGGGGTAAGTGGCACCCCCATGCTAGCAGTTTGAGAATCCAAGGGGGGCGTCCCTTGGGTGCCCAGCTGCTCAACACGCTGGCCTAATCTTTCAAACTGTTGAGCCTACAGGGCAACCATGCCATGGAGCTCTGTTAGCGCGCTTCCCTGTTGACTCAACATTGCTATATTTGTCTGAGTCTGCGAAATCCACGGTGGTCGGATTATTCTGTCCGAACCGAAAAATGTTTTGGATTCCAGGAATGCAGGCTCAGACAAAGCATGATAAAAAAAAAAAAAAAAACATTTATTCCAGAAAAGCGCATCGACAAAGCACAAACTAAAATCGCCGGTCACAAGGAGCCAGGAAAATAACAATGCAAAAAAACAAAAAAGTGCTTCCAAAGGCAAGGTAAAAGAGAACACCACAAATTCAATGGAATATCACAAGTTCAATAACGCGAAACCAAAGATCAAGATCGATAAAAAGGAACAATGAAAATACAAAGTATTTTGATAAAATGAGAGCAACTATGAAAGAGTGAGGTCTAGAACACTACACTTGAAGCACAACAGCGAACAAGGTCAATAAATCTGACAAGAGACTAGGCCACTTGGCAGTCCTTGGCAAACATGGAACAGGTGCGCCCGCTGGAGGGAAACGCCCTTCAGTCCAGCTGGGGCTGAAAACAAAACAGACAGGCAGACATGACAGACAAAGACGGCGTGTGAAAATATAAAATGAAAGTCACAGATACATTTCAAATATCGTAACATTAAGCAACAGAAAAACCATTACGTTGACTGACTAGTTTAATTCAGCAAGTGACTGTCTTGATTGCAATATTGCTCCAGTACATCTCTGGCCTTTCGCTCCCATGTGCCAGTGATGATGTTCCTATGATTAATGGCTCCGAGGTGGAGGATGTCCATAAATTAGTTGTTATTTCCTCATTTTCCACAGGCTCTGCTCAAAGTGTTAATTGGCTTTCAGTGAGTTGAAAGACACCAAACCGTGATTAAAAAAACAGTCCCGAAGACTTCTCTTTGAATTAAAGGCATGTGTAATCAGTTGACAACAAAGGAGTCGTTTGTTTTTCCATTGTTATGGTGATGCGTTGTGGGCCACACATCACAGTCCACAGTTCTGAGGTTGGGGGTTGGAATCTGAGCTCCTGCTTTCCTATGTGGAGTTTGCATGTTGTCCACAGGCTTTTCTCCAGGTAATTCTTCCCACATTCCCAAAACATGTTTGTTGGGTTAATTAGACACTAAATGGTCGATATACGTGATTATGAGTGTGAATACTGGTTTGTCTATTGGAGCCCGACTAAAGATAGCAATCACATGACGTCAAAAAACGTTGCCAATTGATCCGACAGCCATCATATATCACGGGGCAGACCAACACTTGGGGTTCATTTTTTTTTTGTAATGTTTGCATCCATTTTGTTTGCTGTGATTGCAGCATTTCTTTCTGTGTTTTTTTCTGCATTTCCATCTTTTTTATTGTTTGCAACATTTCTATATTTGCAGCATTTCTGGCGTGCAGTGTTTTTGTTTTGCAGTTGTTTTGTGTGTGTTTTTTTTTTTTTTTTTAGTTTGCCTATGTGTATTTGTATTTTTTTTGTTTTCGTTTTGTTTGCATCTATTTTTTTTTTTTTGCAGCATTTTTGTCTTTGCAGTCTTTGGTTGTTCGCTGTACCTTTCTAACCACAGGTGAAAAGGATATGGTAGTAGTCCAGTCAATGACAAGTAGCTACCGAAAGAAACTAATGCAGAAATCTTTACTCATTGCTCCATGTCGAACTGCACAAACCTTGTGACTGAAATGCATCTATGACAACTCGAGTCAGAGAAAATGCAAATCAAAATCCTTTTTTGTAAAATGTCTGGCTGAGGGTTTGATCAAACTGGTGGAAACAAGAACAAAAAAAAAATGCATTGGAAAACTGGGTGGGGAGAAGATATTCATAAAATGTATTCAATCATTCTGCTCAGTCGTCCACGTGGCTATTGGCAACCAGCTGACAAGTACTGGCAAAGACTCAAGACATAATATGACATCACACTTTGACAGTTCAATGTCCCAAAATGTTACATATACAGCAGAGTAATGCGGTTCCACTACAATGTCACATGTCCGTCGAGCAAAGGCAATGTTTAAGCTTGTGCCAAAGAAGATAACTTCCATTGCTCAAAGGCAACATATTGAAATTGCATATGCAAAAACAGAACACAAGGAGATATGCACTCATTCGCAGGCACTGCAACTTTATCCTTTCAGACGCAACACTTAACTGCTGATGGAAGTCAGACATTACTGCCAACTCAGGCTTAAGTCAAAAGAAAATGAAGCTTGAAACTCAATACGTTTCATCCAAGAATGTCACAAAGGCACAAAATACAATTACATAAATTGAGCCAGTCACGTACAAAAACAAATGTGGTTTTGCATTGTTCACAGAAGGAAACTTTCAAAGTGTATTAGATCAGGGGTCTTCATTTGTATTCCTTGAGGGCCCATCTATTCCGTCTCTCCGGGCTGCGAACACACCTTATTCAAAAGACCAGATAATCAGCAGGGTCTTCATAAACTGGATATCGATCCTGATCATTTGAATCAGCCGTGTTGTAGCAGGGAGAGATGGAAAACATCCAGGAAACCGGCCCTCGAGGAACAGAATTGAAGACCCCAGCTTTAGATAATGAAGATGTATTACGGAGTGTCTGCATCTGTCCTGTAATGGATGCGGCAGTTCAAGATTGCAGACTGACTAAATACATTTCCATGACATTTGTATAGTGTGAGGCCATGACTCGAATCAGCACTAAGGAAGTGATTTCTGTGACAACAGCAGCCGAAGGCCAGAAACAGGCCTTTTCTAAATTAGATCATGACACTAAGCACCATTAGGCAGTAACCCGGGACTCTTGCCATGAACGGCCCGGTCGCCCGGTAAATTTGTAAGAAACCAAACTTGACAAGAGATGTTTCGGATATCTGGGCTTGCTCCAAAGAAAGGCCATAAACCGTATCTCACCCTCAGAACAGCTCAAAACAGCAAACCATTTGTCATCTTTGGGTGACATCCAGAGGACAACAGCCTAAACTGAATGCATCTAACTTTTCTGTTGTTTGCAATTGTTCTTTCCTCCCCGAGCCATCACCTTATTGTGGTGGACAGGTTTGTATGTCTCAATGATCTTTGGAGCTAAGTTGACTGACGCTATAGGCCCCTGGTAGGTTCACCCATGGCGAACAGGTACTTGGTCATGGACCGAACAAAAGCATGGCTCAAAAACCCCTGATGACAAGAAACACATGAATAGTCTGTGTCCTACCTGTGACTTTGAGCTGTGTTGTCCTCCGCACCAGTCTGGATCCATACTGCAACTCACAGGTGTAATTCCCCCCATCCTCCTCCTCTACCTCTGGGATCCATATGTGTGTATTGTTGACGATAATTGAACTTCTCCATTCGACCCGCTCACACTCCTGACAGGGCACACATATGACTGATCAAACGGCAAAAGAAAGGGTGAAATGCTCTCATCTCAGGTGTGTCCGTGTGACATACCTTGTACCATGTCATTTGAGGTTGTTTGTACGGAGCCAAATAGTCATCTATGTCACGACATGTGATCATTTTGCTGTGGGTAATCTCGGCTTTCTCCAGATAGCGGATGTTGCTGCTGAAGCATTTCCCCTCATCACTCTCCTCCACAGTCATGGACATAGACACCTTCATGCAGTATGTTGAGTTCCTAAAGAGACAACAGACATCAAGGTTTAAAGATGATGACTTCATTGAAGAATTTATGCTTGGATTGATCACTTTTGCTGTACTGCCTGTCCTCATTTTGGTCATGGATGAGCTGCAGCCTATCCCAGCTGTTTTAAATTTGAAATCTCACTGGCTGTATCTGAATTCACAGGCCGGCTCCCCCGAAGGCTGCATTTGTGGCCGCATGATGCCACTTCCAACGCGACTCGACCGCACGGGGTGTCCAAACTCACATTAAGCCTGTCCAATTTCGCCACGGCTACATGAGGAGAAGCCTTTGAATGCGCCAAAGGACCCAGGCTGCAAATTGTCTTTCTAGAATTTGGAAACCACGTGTGGTCAAGTCACGCCTTAATTGATGTCATGCGGCCGAAAAATGTGTCCGAAAATGCAGCTTTAGGAAGACGCAACATGTGAATTTGGACACAGCCAATGAGTGGCAAACGTTTGCAAGGGTCTGCCCAAGTACATGTTACACCACTAAAAAAATTGTGCAAACTCAAGCTAGGATCTGCACGATTCAATGATGCAGCACATTATTGGATGTCAAAATCTCTCAGGGTAATTTAGTGTGTGTGCGCGCATGTGTGTGTGTGTGTGTGTGTGTGTGTGTGTGTGTGTGTGTGTGTGTGTGTGTGTGTGTGGGTGTGTGTGTGTCTTTCACAGTTTATTATGCGGAAATTCCTAATTTAAAATTATTTTTGTTCTTATGAATCAAGGTAGTTTGACATTGTGCATCTTGGGCAAAGGATGCGTGTTTGACGGGTTTTTTTCCAATGGCAGCTCAGTTCTTATTTGTGCGGTTGCATGCTCTGAAGAGGTTCAACATTTGTTTGCAGAATACTCAGAATTGATGAATCAAAGATTTGTGATGCAAAAATATGTTGTGTGTGTGTGTGTGTGTGTGTGTTGTTCCAAGTTCACCTCTAGACACAAAAGACCTCCTTGATATCTGTTATTTTCACTTCACGCACACACGCGCGCGCGCACACACACACACAAGGATTTTTCCAGTCAGTGACTTAAACAGGACCACTGAGCATGAAAAAGAAGAATGAAAAGCCTTTCATCCATCTATCTCTCAGTTTGTCTCTTCTTCATCAATCCATCTCCAGCCAGCAGTTTTCTCCTCCAGTGATTCACTTACCGTTAGCAGCATGTTCCTCTCAGTTTAAAAACACTATCATCTGTGAACCTTTATATTTGTTGATCTTGCTGCAGAGTTAATGGTTTTCTTTTTTAACGGACCGTACTGTATTATTTCAAAATATCACACATATTGACTTTGGACACGATGACTCAGTTTTCAGACTTGCCGAAGTCTGATTTTATCACATCTTCCTGCACATGGCTTGAGATGGATCATTTAATTTCACACCATAAGCGTGAATGTGAATTAAAAGGAAAAAAAAAAAATTGGATCCCCCCTCGCAAGAGGCACTGAATAAGAACATTAAACTGTAAAAATAAAAATATTTATGGTAGAACATTATTCACACTTCACATACATATATAGGCACACGTTCTTGAATCTTTTATGGTATTTGTTTATGTATGCCTATCATAGACACGGCGTTATGAAGCACTAAAATGCTTTCATTCAAACCCTTTCTGTTATTGAAACGATTGTGTTCTGATCGTGTGTCATGGTCCGCCCCTCTCTGCTCATCGAAACAAAAAAAAAAGGTTTGTTTATCACCCAACAGTGACAAAATCCTCTAGCTAATACAGTAATGTACATTTAAATGTGTATGATATCTCACAATAAGCGGCTCAACCTTCAACACTGCGTCAAAAGCATGTTGTGCATGCTATGCATCCTTTCTGAATGTTAATTTTGTTCCGGCCTCTATCAGTATTTGGCTGCATATTTCTAATGTGGTGCGGATTTCAGCTACCAAAGCCACACAAAGCTTACATAGCTTTGTGTGGATTTGGGCGAGTCCACTAAACAAAAGGCTTCAGTAGCTTCTATTTTACATGCACTCTTTATTTCTTAAAGTTGATGGTATAAATACGGTAAATCAGAAATTATCATTTTGATTTGGTCAAACTAAATTGGCGGTAAAGAATATGCAGTTTCAAACCCGACAACAACAATGCATCAAATAGATTGGAGCTATGAATGTTTCTTGATCCATTTTGATCGATGCAGATAGTTATGAATCAAAAAGGAGACATACATCACCTGACATAATAAAGTTTAGAGAACATTCTCAATCAAATCAAATACAGCGCTTGCTTACCATTGCATTTTTCAACTATGGTGTTTTTTTTTTTGGGGTGGGGGGGGCAGTAACTGACAGACGATCTGATGGACTACTGGCATACCGGTGAAATTTACCCACGGAAGTGATGATGCTAGTGAAGCTAAAATCGCATGACTGCAGTTTAAATTCACCAGTAAGTTAGTGGGTGTTCATGTCAAGGCCTGATTGTTTGATGACTTTTATCCGAATCTGTTCCTTCCCTCGTCCATTAAGGAGAAATTCCTCCTTTTAAATACCTTAATTGAGGACGTAATGATGATAAAATGAAATTAAATAGATGTGGTGTTTAAATATGATACTTCTTTTATATCTTTTATAACACACTTCACTCATCACTATTTCAGACAATTGTGGCAGGCAGTATGTTCTTTTTTTTTTTTTTTTTTTTTTTTTTTTTTTACATTGATGCCATGTTGATGCATAGAAGAGCCAGAGCCAAACTTTTTTTTTTTTTTTTATATTTGCTACATGGGCACATATCCATGTAGACGCACAAATCCTCTTACCAGCATAAGCTTTTCCAATAACCCTACTTACCCCATTTTCCAAAATTGGAAAGCAAGATTCACATGGATACTTTCAGCTCCTTTGCACCTCCTTAACTATCTACTTTGTATTACATTTTGAAGAGATGGACTGATAGCCCTAAAGGTGACTCTGAATTAATTGTATCCAGTCTTTACCAGTACAACTACTTTGGCTTTGTTAATATCTCCTTGATGGATCATTGTTCTTTAGCCCCCTTTGTACATGTGTAGATGTCCATTTCCCAAATGTTATGTTTTTATTAAAGACCTTTTCATAAACTGATACGACAAGCATAGTCAGACACCTCAGTGGACTAATTTCCACCTAGGCGTATATAGGTGGCTGCATCTAGACGGGTCAGCACACCCTGCATCGTGGATGAATGGATCAGGGTACAGGTGGATTCAACACATTAGGCCTTGACACTGCTTACTATATGTGACCTCAGTTATGACTTAAGTGCAACATCAGACACACTAGTGTTGTGCTCCCAGGAAGAAGAGTGACTCACTCATCTTTTGGTCTGTTTCATACACCTCTCCCTTGTCATTCCATGTCACAATGTCCATCTCAAATTTTATTGGCTGAGTAGCATCACTTTCTTGTGAATTTCCATTGCCATGCAGTGCTATGGTAAAACGCTCAAAAGCTACACAGATCACAATTTCTGGTAAAACTATTTTTCTCTAAAAAAGTGGTCAAATTGTAAGCAGTCATCAAAGTATTCCGCAGCAGTAATAGGGCTGGGTCAATATAAAGCAGACCTGGATTATACCTGTGTTTTATGGTCCAGGGAGCACATCAAGCCTATGCACAATCGCTGTCATAATAGGATTTCAATAAGCAGTGTATTTATTTTGAAAGTGGTGCCTTTATTCTCTGGGCGCATGTGTGAGTGGTATGAGCGAGGAAAGGAACAAATTGTGCCTTCATTGTGGCTAAAAATGCTACAGGGTATTTTCTCAATCCAATGGCTCCTTCATCCCTTTGATGACTGTGTTGTTTTGCTCTTTGGCTAAATCTATTGCCAGACCTACAAATTCACAACATGCGAAAAACAAAGTTGCCCTTGTGAACTCCCTGACCAATTCTGGATGTTGCTTAAAGACCCCTTCACAGTTTGTAAATAATTTGGCGTCATTTCCAGGGTGTGGCTTCGGTGGGGGCAAAAACATCTTGCCTGAAGAATCCCCCAAATAATGACAAACTTAAAATAATTTCAGTCCCAACTAAGTCTATTACCCATATCATTGTCTATGCTGAAATTGATAGTACATTTCATGATAGTAAATTTTATGTAAAATGAAATAGCGTTGTACCATAGCCGTGTGCGATTTCTCTGACAGCCAGAAGCGGGGATACGGTAGAATTTCAAGTTTTTGTTTTTACTTTTATGGTCTTGGCAACCAGAAACACAACCCGATGACATTTTTCAAATTAAAAAATGGTTTTGTCTACTCCTATCTTCGGTTTTTTTGACTCCAGGTAACACTGTGACATCATCGTGACGTTGGCCAAGAAAGGATCTAAAGGCAGTATCCCATTGAGCTCCGAATGTTGTTGTGAAGGTCGCAAATGTTGATTTGTCAAATTTCTGATGAATGTTGACAAAAATCAGCAACATTTACTTTCACCGCTGTGATGGATTCCAACAATACAAAACATTGAACAAAACAAACAAACAAAAAAAACTTATTACAAGTTGGTGCAGTCTGGCCCTTGGCTTCAAATTTCTCTTTCACGAACTGTTTACAAATGCTGAAGGCTGTTTTGGAGACGCCCTTGTTACCGAACGTCCTTGCAACAAGAAAAAGTGAAAAAGTGTTTGTGAGAAATAAAACAGTTTGCCAACATGTTTGCAACCTTTTACAAATCCCAACGAAACCCCAAATTCACTACGTTCACAAGCATTTACTGCTAGGTGAAATACAGTTTTAAGGGACATCATGTTGGCAAAGATGTAAATCGCCAGTCCTGATAGTGATTCATGATACCAGTCACTGTTTTTGACGATTCAAAGTCAAATGTAGACCAAGGAAATAAGTGGGTGTTTGAAAATAATTTAAAAAAAAAGATTACGGAAATTGAAGTGAACATAATTTCATTATTTTTTCACTAGGTGAACATAATTTCACATGTATGTATTCCTATAACATATTTGTTTTGACAAATTTTGGACAAA